GCCGTGAGATCTGAAAAGGGAAACAGCATTTGCAGGGGCATCCACTAAGTTCTAGGCATCGTGCCAGGCAGCTTAAGTATATGATCCCTTGACTTGGGAGGGGCCTTAGGGCCTAATGAACAGCCTGTTACAGCCTAGAACATCCTGGGAAGTTCTGGAAATACTGACTCCAAGCAGGTCAAGGTATTTGCCCTACTTTTTCTAGTTCCAGTTGTGTATCTCTCACTTTGTATGTTCTCAGAACTTTAAAAGCAAAGACTCTGGAGTCAGACTGCCTGTATTTGTTCACCGGGTTCATCACGTACCAGTTGTATGAATTTGGACAAGTTACTCAAACTTTCTGGGCTTCAATTCCCTTATCTGTGAAGTCAGAAATAGCACCTAGCCCATAATGTTATTGAAATGATTAAATGAGATCATCTATGTAAAACACTTAGCTGCGTCTAACAGACACCACAGTGCAGATCTTAGCTATACTAATCGATGATGGCTGGGTGCAGTGGCTCACACCTGTAATCCCAGCACTTTGAGTGGCCGAGGCAGGAGGATTGCTTGAGCCCAGGAGTTCAAGACCAGCCTGGGCAACACAGAGAGATCCCATCTTGGAAAAAAAAAAATACAATAACAACAACAAAAAAATCAATGAAATGAAATTAAACATTAAAAATATATACAATAATAATTGATGGTGATCAAATGATGATCATGTTGAATACAGCCTCTCTCCAACTGTGTTTACATCTTTGCATTCATGTTGCTTTACCAAAATCTAAACCAGGCAATATCATTTTCCTACTCCAGCATCATATATCTTTTTGCTTAACTTTAATTATTATTATTTTTCTTTGAGATGGCTCTTGTTGCCCAGGCTGGAGTGCAGTGGCACGATCTCGGCTCACCGCAACCTCCGCCTCCTGGGCTCAAGCAATTCTACCTCTTCAGCCTCCTGAGTAGCTGGGATTACAGGCATGTGCCACCACACCTGGCTATTTTATATTTTTTTAGTAGAGACGGGGTTTCACCATGTTGGTCAGGCTGGTCTTGCACTCCTGACCTTAAGTGATCCACTCGCCTCGGCCTCCCAAAGTGCTGGGATTACAGGCGTGAGCCACTGTGCACAGCCTATGACGTATTTTGTTAGCATGCCGAAAAGAAATCAACTGTTTTTCAACCTGAGGACGTCAGTTGGTCAGTTCACTTTCTCTTCTTTTTGGAGTTGCATTGAGAACATCCTGTACTGTTCCTAGCACCTGCTGATAGATGGAAATCCTGGTCTGGGTGCGGCCAGAGCTCCGGGTGTATCAATATTTGTTAAGAGCTCAGAAGCGCTTGGCTTTCGTGGGACAGGGCCGTGGGACTGTGGGCTATAGGTCAGGCCTGATGTTTGAAATGCCACACACAAACTCCTTCTCGCTGAAGACACAGAGGGTGGCCAAATGTTAAATTTGAGCCCAAAGAGAATCCAGCACTGGTTGCAAAATACCCCTGTCTCTTTTGTCACAGAAGACAAGAAACAGTGAACAGAACCTCACGGCCAGGTACGAGCTTCAACCAAGCCTCCCAAGGAGTATTTCTTTGCCCTGAGCTTATTAAGCAATATATAAGTAACAGAAGGCTGGGCATGGTGGCTCACGCCTGTAAATCCCAGCATTTTGGGAGGCCAAGGTGATCAGATCACGAGGTCAAGAGATCGAGACCATCCTGGCCAACATGGTGAAACCCCATCTATACTAAAAATACAAAAATTAGCTGGGTATGGTGGTACATGCCTGTAGTCCCAGCTACTCAGTAGACTGAGGCAGGAGAATCATTTGAACCCGGGAGGTGGAAGGTGCAGTGAGCAGAGATCGTGCCACTGCACTCCAGTCTGGTGGCAGAGAAAGACTCCATCTCAAAAAAAAAAAAAAGTAACAGAGACTTTAATTCTCCAGGAAGGCCTTCCAACGGGTTCCAGAACACACATTTGGAGGTCCACAGATGGATGGGCCTGGGACAGAGAGAACCCCATCGTTTCCTGAAAGTTGATTGATTACCTCTCTGTTCTTTGGAGACCACAGTTTTGTAGCATGGCAGGTTATTTATTTATTATTTATTTTTAATTTTTGAGCGACTGTATCTATTCCCCTACAGGGTCTGGCTCTGTCACTCAGGCTAAAGTGCAGTGGCTTGATCACAGCTCACTGAAACCTCAACCTCCCAGGCTCAAGCCGTCCTCCCACCTCAGCCTCCCAAACAGCTGGAACCACAGGTGCCTGCCACCGTGCTTGGCTAATTTTTTTTTTTTTGGTAGAGGAGGGGTCTTGTTCTGTTGCCCAGGTTACTCTCAAACTCCAGGCCAGACTCAGTGACTCATACCTGTAATCTCAGAACTTTGGGTGGCCAAGGCAGTCAGATCTGTTGAGCCCAGGAGTTCAAGACCAGCCTGGGCAGCAAAGCAGAATCCTGTTTCTACAAAAAATACAAAAATTAGCCTGGTGCAGTGGTGTGCACCTGTAGTCCTGGCTACTTGGGACGCTGCAGTGAGAGGATCTCTTGAGCCTGGGAGGCGGAGGTTGCAGTGAGCTGAGATCATGCCACTGCACTCCAGCCTGGGTGTCAGAGTAAAACTGCATCTCAAGAAGGAAAAAAAAGGTGCCGAACTCCTGGCCTCGAGTGATCCTCCTGCCTCAGCCTCCCAAAGTGCTGGGATTACACATGTGAGCCACCAGTAATTTTAGAAGCAAGAGAATTGAGATAGGCTCCACCGAAAGCCCAGACGTGCTCGTGAAATTGAGGGTGATCTAAAACATTATTCAAGGAGCACCTGATAGACAGCATGCCTTCACACCAACAGCAGCTGAAAAAATGCCCTTGGCGTGGCCACCGAGACTAAGATGGCCTTGAGACTCTGCCTTCTTAGCAATGCCCAGGCCAAGGAGCTGAGCTGGCCGTGCCCTGCACCTTCTGGGGCCTCCTATGGTTCTGTGGACCCACTCCTGCACCCCCCTGCCATCATGGTTCACCAGGCCCCACCCCACAGCCACCCAGTGCCCCTGCAAGAAGATAGGGACATTCACACCTGCCCAGCCACCCCAGGACCCCCTGGGCCCAAGCTTGGAGTGGCTGCAGAAACTGTGAACCCCTCCGTTGTTAGGGAGGAGGTCCCTTCACCTGTGGCTCCCAGTAATAGTGTGAAAACAAACGACAAATAAAATTTCCTTTATGACCGGGCACAGTGGCTCATGCCTGTAATCCCTTTATGGCCGGGCACAGTGGCTCATGCCTGTAATCCCTTTATGGCCAGGCACAGTGGCTCATGCCTATAATTCCTTTTATGGCCGGGCACAGTGGCTCATGCCTGTAATCACTTTGGGAGGCCGAGGTGGGCAGATCGCCTGAGGTCAGGAGTTCGAGACCAGCCTGGCCAACATGGCAAAACCCCGTCTCTACTAAAAATACAAAAATTAGCCAGGTGTGGTGGTGGGTGCCTGTAATCCCAGCTACTCAGGAGGCTGAAGCAGGAGAATTACTTGAACCCGGGAGGCAGAGGTTGCAGTGAGCCAAGATCGTGCCACCGGCCTCCCACCTGGGTGACAGACCAAGACTCCATCTCAAAAAAACACAAAAAACAAAACAAAAAAATCCTTTAGGCAGCTGCAGCGCAACTATTGCCTTTATGACCCTTTTAATGAAGAGTGATGTGGATCAACGGGTTCTCTCAGGTGAGAATCTGGGAGGCACAGGCGTTCAGAGCTTGAGTTTCATTCATGGTTAGGAGCTGGGGGAGGGGCTGGACGCTAGTCCTTAAGCCCAAGCCTGGCTTAATCCTCTCTTTCCATAAGAACTGCTGCCCTCTCTCCAGTTCCTTCCTCTTTCTACTTGTAATTTTTTGCTCAAGCTCATCTGAAGTATGTTTCAGGTACTCGCATCCCTCAGGACCTTGAGTTAAGCAACCGTAGTAAGACATCATGTCACTATAATGAGGGAAAAAAGTGGAATTTCCTTCTCAGGAAGTTTGCCAGTAACATGAATAGTCCCAGCCTCAATCATCAAAGAATTTCATCAGAATTTCAGTTCCAGTTTGAAGAAATTGCCAATTTGAACCAAAAGATGGGTGTGCAGATGGCAACCCGTAGCCCTTGGTTGGTAAATGGTCAATTTCTAGTCAATGGTGGCTCCACCAAACACCACCCCTGTCCAGCACTTCTCAGATGACCAATTCCTCACCTCAATCTCTGATTACAGAAGCAAAGTGGAGAAAGAAAGGGGTTAGGTGGTTGACAGACCATCTGCAAAGACAACTGCTATAGTTAGCAGCAAGGCCAGTGGATCAATAGATTGTAATAAGAAAGTGTTTTGAAAATGAAACCAAATGTCATCTGAAGGATTTGCGATGTGTCTGTGCCTGAATATGGGGTACCATTTAGATCCTCCTATAACAACCCAGTAGTTTCTCCTTGCCCACTACCTAGAGCTGATTTATGAAGACAAGGGAATTGCAATAGAGAAAATTTAATTCACGCAGAGCTAGCTGTATGGGAGACTGACATTTTATTATGACTCAAATCAGTCTCCTCAAACACTCAAGGACTGGAAGGGAGGATTTGAGACAAGGTTTCTGTCTCCCCGGCTAGAGTGCAGTGGCGTGTTCACAGCTCACTGCAACCTTGACTTCCTGGGCTCAAGTGATCCTCCCACTTCAGCCTCCTGAGTAGCTGGGACTACAGGTACACACCACTGTGCCTAGTTAATTTTTGCATTTTTGTAGAGACAGCATTTGGCCAGTTTCCAGGCTGGTCTGAAACTCCTGGACTCAAGCAATCTGCCTGTCTTGGCCTCCCACAGTGCTGGAATTATAGACATGAGCCACTGTGCCCAGCTGGATCTGTTTTTTGTTTTTTTGTTTTTTGGGGTTTTTTTTTTTTGAGATAGAGCCTTGCTGTGTCGCCCAAGCTGGAGAGCAGTGGCATGATCTCAGCTCATTGCAACCTCTGCCTCCCGGGTTCAAGTGATTCTCCTACCTTAGCCTCCCAAGTAGTTTGGACTACAGGCTTATGCCACCACACCTGGCTAATTTTTGTGTTTATGTAGAGATGGAGTTTCGCCATGTTGGCCAGGCTGGTCTCGAACTTCTGACCTCAGGTAATCCACCCGCCTTGGCCTCCTAAAGTGCTGGGATTACAGGCATGGACCACTGCGCCCAGCCTGGATCGGGGTTTTTAAGGATAACTTGGCCGATAGGGGTTCAGAAAGTGGGGAGTGCTGATTGGTCAGGTTGGAGATGAAATCACAGGGAGTCAAAGATGTCCTCTTGTCCTGAGTCAGTTCCTGGGTGAGGGCCACAAGACCAGATGAGCCAGTTTATCGATCTGGGTGGTGCCAGCTGAGCCATCGAGCACAGGGTCTGCAAAATATCTCAGTCACTGAACTTACATCTGACAATAGTGACATTATCCTCAGGAGCAGTTTGAGGAGAGGCATGACTCTTAAACCATAATTTCTAATCTTCTGTCCAATGTGTTAGTCCTGCTAAGGCAGTCTAGCTCCATGGCAGGAAGGGAGTTTGTTTTGGGAAAGGGTTGTATCGTCTTTTGTTTCAAAGGTAAACAAGTTCCTCCCAAAGTGACTTCGGCCTATGCCCTGTAATGAACAAGGACAGCTTGGAGTTTAGAAGCAAGATGGAATCAGTTAGGTCAGATCTCTTTCACCATCAAAATTTTCTGTTATAATTTTTGCAAAGGTGGTTTCAATCCCTCACTTTGGGTTTTGTAACAACCTTATTCCTTATTTTATTTTATTTTATTTTTTAAATTTTTTTTTTTTGAGATGGAGTCTCGCTCTGCTGCCAGGCTGGAGTGCAGTGGTACGATCTCGGCTCACCACAACCTCCGACTCCCTGGTTCAAGCGTTTCTCCTGCCTCAGCCTCCCGAGTAGCTGGGATTACAGGCATGCGCCACCACGCCCAACTAATTTTTGTATTTTTAGTAGAGACAGGTTTTCACCATGTTGGCCAGGATGGTCTTGATCTCCTGACCTTGTGATCCGCCTGCCTTGACCTCCTGAAGTGCTGGGATTACAGGCATAAGCCACTGCGCCCGGCCTGTAACAACCTTATTCTTGAAACCAAGCTGTGAGATGGAAAAAGGGCGAAGACTGTTTTAGCTTCTTTCTGCTGGCAGGGGTGTAGTTAGGGCAGGTGTTGACCCCAAGGTAAGAAGAGTGGAATTGCTCTGCAGCTGTCTGCCTGGACTCATGGTGCCTGGCTGGGGTTTTGAGGCTTGCAGGAGTAAGGTGTTAGTATTCTTGCCTAGAGTTTTAATGTAGTGTTTAAATGAGCAGTGAACTGTAAGATATATAATGAGTCTTAGGGTAAGGAGTGAAAGTCCTAGTTTCAGAAGCCTTTGTAGAGGCCAGGCGTGGTGGTTCATGCCTGTAATCCCAGCACTTTGGGAGGCCAAGGCAGGAGGATTGCTTGAGCCCAGAAGTTCAAGACTAGCCTAGGCAATAAAGTAAGACTTTGTCTATGAAAAAAAAGAGAGAGATAAAAAAAAGAAGAAGCCTTTGTAGAATTGATCTTAAGCTCTAAGGGATCCAGGTGAATAGCTCCAAGAACCAGTCAGACATGGGGTGACTGGCAGAGAGATTTGGGTCAGAGGTTGTTGGACAAACATATTGGGATAGACAAGAATGAGTGAATTTTATTTTATTTTACTTTATTTTATTTGGTACTGCCCCTTGTGGATCAGGGCTAACTCATAGGCAATGCCTCTATAGTCAGTCAGGAAAGAGTACATTTAAACACACTGTCCCATATATTTTTAATCAGTTTCCTAGTGCTGGGACTAAATCAGTTGTTAAACAGCCGTTTCCCATAGCAGGAGGTGGCATTGCACGTGGGCTTGGCCTCTATATGTGATGAAGACAAGCAGATTTTTAATACGAGGCATTTCTATGGAAATATAAGAAAAACAAAAGTTAATGTTGGGCACAATTTATCCAGATGTGCAACTCAGAATACCTTTAGTTACAGAGCAGGAAGGCAGTGGCAATTGGACATGTTTTTGCCACCTGTATTAAAAGAATAAGCTTCAGCTTACAGGGCCTCAGGAAAAAGGTAGTAGCAATTTTATTGGGTCCAAGTCAGAGAAGTGGAAGAAAAATTTGAAAGCATTAGTGTGGAAAGCATTAGTTTGGAGCATTGGTTAGGTTAGCCTCAGGACAGCCATAGTTAAAGATGCAGTCAACAAGAAAAACTGGTTATCTCTGTGACACACAACAATTTTTAAAATTTAGTTTAATTTTTTCGAAACAGGATCTCACTCTGTCATGCAGGCTGGAGTGCAGTGGTGTGATCACAGCTCACTGCAGCCACAAAGAATTCAAGATTTAGTCCAAATTGCAGAAAATAACAAAAAACTCAAGAACAGTGGATAAGACTAGAATCTAACAATGGGGGTACTATAGCTTTTTGAAACATAATTTTTCTCTCTTTAGTCCCTATTTTTATTAAAAACAAATAATAGTAGGACAAATTTAATTGCGAAATAAGTCTTAGTCTTATTATACTTGGCCTGATTATTTGTATAAAGTACGGCAAGAATAATTTTTTTTTTTTTTTTGAGACGGAGTCTTGCTCTGTCACCCAGGCTGGAGTGCAGTGGCCGGATCTCGGCTCACTGCAAGCTCCGCCTCCCGGGTTCACGCCATTCTCCTGCCTCAGCCTCCCGAGTAGCTGGGACTACAGGCACCCGCCACCTCGCCCGGCTAGTTTTTTGTAATTTTTAGTAGAGACGGGGTTTCACCGTGTTAGCCAGGATGGTCTCGATCTCCTGACCTCGTGATCCACCCGTCTCGGCCTCCCAAAGTGCTGGGATTACAGGCTTGAGCCACCGCGCCCGGCCAAGAATAATTATTTTAAAGAGCCATACAGGCTCTTTAAAATTGGCTTTGCTGGTCAGGCACGGTGGCTCACACCTGTAATCCCAGCGCTTTGGGAGGCCAAGGTGAGAGAATCACCTGGGCCCAGGAGTTAAAGACCAGCCTGGGCAACATAGCAAGATCTCCGTCTCTACAAAAATTAGCCAGGTGTGGTGGTGCATGCCTGTAGTCCCAGCTACTTGGGAGGCTGAGGTGGGAGAAGGCCCAGGCTGAAAAATAAAAAAATAAAAAATAAATAAATAAATAAATAAAAATAAAATCAGCTTTGCTGAAATTTCATTCCTTAAGGAATCTCACCTTATACTTTTTAAAGCCTTTAGCCCAGCCATGGATTTCTCTATGCCTGCGTATACTTGTATGAGTTGGGAGAATTTTGCTCCTCTCAAGGTCCCAAGATAATTTGGGCTTCTGGGCCTGTCAGAAAGTGACATTCTTTATTTACGACAAGTCAGGAACCCTGTACAGAGACTGCATATGCAAGTTATAAGGCCAATTTTCTTGAAGAGCTTTTTTTTTTTTTGAGACGGAGTCTTACTCTTGTCGCCCAGGCTGGAGTGCAATGGCATGATCTCAGATCACTGCAACCTCTGCCTCCTGGGTTCAAGCGATTCTCCTGCCTCAGCCTCCTGAGTAGCTGGGATTTTAGCTGGGATTACAGGCACCTGCCACCATGCCCAGCTAACTTTTGTATTTTTAGTAGAGATGGGGCTTCACCATGTTGGCCAGACTGGTCTTGAACTTCCCGACCTCAGGTGATCTGCCCACCTCGACCTCCCAAAGTGCTGGAATTACAGGCGTGAGCCACTGTGCCCTGTTATAAATCCTTTTTTCGATTAATCAAACCCTTGCAGAGGAGACAAACAATGATGTTTACCATTCACAGAGAGAAAGAGAGAGAGAGAGAGAGACCAGAAGCCTGGCTTGCCAGAAATTCTTACTCTCTTTGCTGGCATACCAGATTTCTGGGTTCCCTTTCCCTGCAGCTTCCAGAAGAATGGAAAGTCACCATGAGTCAGGCCTGTTGCGCTTCCACTAACAGTTCCTTCAATCAGCAAATGTGACAGACCAGACAAACTAGGAGAGCCTGTTGGACTTCCATCAGCAATTTCTATACATACACAAACATGCAAGTGAAAAAACAAGCAGAAGGACTTGCAGACAGAGATTCCAGACCAAATCACAAACCAAGAATGTTCCTCCAAACAAGTCCCCTCTTCTTGATCCAATTAGAGCAGACACACCCTTCAGAGGGGCCAGCAAGTCAGAAGGATGAGGTTGTTGGCAGCACCTAGAATACTCACCAAATCAGACACCCATGATGGGGCTACAGGTGTGGGACATCTCCCCAGGACTGTTTATTGCATTTGAGTCCATGCACCATGAGTTGGCAACATCCTGCTGGTAGAGACGGTGCCACAGCCCCCAGTCCAAGGACTGAATTGCCACTTGGGCGGGCCTCCAGATCTGTCACTAGTGGAGGGCTACCGAACCTCAGGCAAGTACCCACAAGGGTGGTCCTGGATGACACCCCAAATTTGCAACCACCCAGTGGAGTTCTCCTTGTCCACTGCCTAGACAAAGCCAATCTATCAAGACAGGGGGCCGGGCCTGGTGGTTCATGCCTGTAACCATAGCATTTTGGGAAGCCAAGGCAGGCGGATCACCTGAGGTCAGAAGTTTGAGATCAGCCTGGCCAACATGATGAAAACCCATCTCTACTAAAAATACAAAATTAGCCGGACATGGTGGTGCATGACTGTAATCCCTACTACTTGGGAGGCTGAGGCAGGAGAATAGCTTGAACCCGGGGGGTAGAGGTTGCAGTGAGCTGAGATCGCGACATTGCACTCCAGCCTATGAAACTCTGTCTCAAAAGACAAAAAAAAAAAAAAAAAGACAAGGGAATTGCAATAAAGTTTAATTCCTGCAGGGCCGTCTGTACAAGAGACCAGAGTTTTATCATTATTCAAATCAGAGAATTCGGGATCAGAGTTTTTAAGGCTAATTTGGTGGGTAGGGGCTTGGGAAGTGGGGAATGCTGAGTGGTTGGGTTGGAGATGAAATCATAGGGGTCAAAGTGAGATTTTCTTACTGTGTTCTGTTCCTGGGTGGGATGGCAGAACTGGTTGAGCCAGATTATCAGGTGGTGCCTCAGAGTGCAGGGTCTGCAAAATACCTCAAGCGCTGATTTTAGGTTTTGCAACAGTGATGTTACTCCCAGGAGCAATTTGGGAAGGTTCAGAATCTTGCAGCCAGAGGCTGCATGGCTCGTAAACCATAATTTCTAATCTTATAGCCAATTTGTTAGTCCTGTAAAGGCAGTCTAGCCCTCAGGCAGGAAAGGGGTTCCTTTTGGGAAAGGGCTGTTATTTTCTTTGTTTCAAAGTTAAACTATAAACAATTTCCTCCCAAAGTTAGTTTGGCCTATAATGAGCAAGGACAGCTTGGAGGTTAGCAGACAGGTGGAGTGAGGTTAGATCTATTTCACCACCATACTTTTCTCACTTATGATTTTTGCAAACGCGATTTCACCCTCACTTCAAGTAAGGCATTGTGGGGCAAATAAGAGAATGAACCTGGAAAGGGAAGGAAGCTCAAAGAATCAGAAATGAACATGGTCTTGCACCCCTGATTTTATGGATCTAGACTTAGGGATAATCTCTTGATGAGAGATTGTTGGGAAGAGCTGCGAGGAAGTTCTGGTCTACATAGCAGAGAGTGAACTCATGGTTTTTGTGACCTTAAGAACTGGTAGCCCCCAAAATAAACAGCTGTAAGACAGGTTTAAAGGCAGTAATGCAAAATAGATGCGTATATGATTATAACCACCTTTTCCAATATATAGACACATAGATCTACATAAATAAATTTTCTCTTCCTCTTCCTCTCTCTCCTTTCACACACACAAAAACACACACACAGCAAATGTAGAAGATACTTTCCAATGGCTCAGCCTGAGTATCAGAGTGTCACTTTCTTTCTTTCTTTTTTTTTTTTTTTTGAGACAAGGTCTCACTCTGTCGCCCTGGCTGGAGTGCAGTGGCCTGATCATAGCTCACGGCAGCCTCAAACTCTTGGGCTCAAGTGATCCTCCCACCACAGCCTCCCAAGTAGCTAGGACTGCATGTGTGTGCCACCATGCCTGGCTAAATATTTAAATGTTTTGTACAGATGGAGTCTTGCTATGTTGCCCAGGCTGGTCTTGAACTCCTGGGCTCACATGATCCACCCGCTTCAGCCTCCAAAAGTGCTGGGATTACAGGGGTGAGCCACTGCGCCCAGCCTGGTGTGTGTTCTTGTAGTCTGTTGTTCCTTGCACAAGTACACAGATATACGTATTTTAAAAGAAAATGGATATCATACTCTGTTTAGAAACTTTTTCATTTAAATATAGTATGATCTTCATCTCAAGTCTTTCATTACTTTTGTCTGAAAGGGGATCTCGACCTCACTATATGGCAGGCCCCACACTCATTGTGCTGGCCACGTTGTTCCTCACTATAGTCGGTTGAGTTCTGGTTCCCAAAAGCTATGTTCACCCCAAACCTTAGAATACAACCTTATTTGGATTAAGGGTCTTTGTAGGTATAACTAAGGTAAAGATCTCCAGATGAGAGCATCCTGGATTAGGGTGGGTTATAAAGACAGGCATCTGTTACGACCGGGAGTGCTGGATCACACCTGTAATCCCAGCACTACGGCAGGCCGAGGCAGGCGGATCACCTGAGGTCAGGAGTTCAAGACCAGCCTGGCCAACATGGTAAAACACTGTCTCTACTACAAATACAAAAATTAGACAGGTGTGGGGGCGCATGCCTGTAATCCCAGCTACGTGAGAGGCTGAGGCAAGAGAATCACTTGAGGCTGGGAGGCAGAGTTGCAGTGAGCCGAGATCAAGCCACTGCACTCCAGCCTGGGTGACAGAGTGAGACTCTGTTTCAAAAACAGACAAAAAAAAAAAAAAAAAAAGGTGTCTGTAAGAAGAGGAGAGGACACAGAGGGGACCGCCATGTGGTGACAGGGGCAGAGATTGGAGTGAAGCGTCTACAAGTCAAGGCAAGTCCAAGAGTGCCAGCAGTCTCCTCAAGCTCGGAGTGAGGCGAGGCATGAAACAGATTTTCCCCTGAGCCTCCAGATGGAACCAACCCAGCCAACACCTTGATTCTGCACTTCTAGCTTCCAGAGCTGTGGGAGAATACATTCCCATTGTTCCAAGCCACCCAGCCACAGGAAATGAACACGCAGTCACCAACCTAATTCTCACCTCAGGGCCTTTGCACCTGCCATTCCCTCTGCTTGGCGTGTCTTTCTCCCAGACTTTTGCATTGCTTGGTCTGTTTAGTCATTCATGGCTCAGCTCAAGGTCAATGCCTCATAGAAGCCATCCCAGTCACCCCAGCCCCAATTACTTTTTATCCCCATTGTCCCACTCCACCATTGTCATGACAGCCACAGCCACCCCAAGGCCCCTTTTTATTTCTGCCTGCCTCCCCACCTCAAAAGTCAGCTCGATGAGAAGAGGACTGTGGCTGCCTTGTTCCTTGTTCTATCTCCACCACCCAGAACAGCCCCTGGCACACAGTTGGTGCTTAATAGATAAAACTGATGGAATGAGGCTGGGCACAGTGGCTCACACCTGTAATCCCAGCACTTTGGGAGGCTGAAGCGGGTGGATCACCTGAGGTCAGGAGTTCGAGACTAGCCTGGGCATCATGGCGAAACCTCCATGTCTACTAAAAATTCAAAAATTAGCCAGGTGTAGTAGTGCACACCTGTAATCCCAGCTACTGGGGAGGCTGAGGCAGGAGAATCACTCGAACCCAGGAGGCAGAGGCTGCAATGAACCGAGATCACACCACTGCACTCCAGCCTGGGTGACAGAGCGAGACTCGGTATCAAAAAAGAAAAAACGGATGGAATGCCTGAATCAGTGAGTGAATGTGAGTTGTGGAGGTCCAAACACCCCAAACCACCTCATCCCTTGAAAGAATCCGGGTTTCACAACAAGGCTCCCCACTGACTCATGCCTCCGAGGCTGGGGGAATCCCTAGTTTCCTCTGAGCTCATCCCTGACATCTCTTCCTCTTCAAGGTGATCCTTGCTTTTGGCTTTTTACTTGTACATTGCTTGGTGATACAGACAAGCCAATTGCTCTGAAAGCACAGAGGTAATTCCAGAGCGTCCACCTTTCTTCATTTACTGTCATTGTCTCAGAGCTGGGAGCCCGTCTCTAAATTCCTTATCTGTGTTCATGTCAGGAGGTTGAAGCAAGCCTCGTCTTGCCAAATAATCAAGGAGTGACAGAGTTGGAAATGAAAGCGTAACAGAAACTTGGACCGATCACAGACTCAAACCAGTACATCTCCTTTCCTTCTCCAAATCGGGAACTGAAACCATTCCATAGGAAGCTCGCTCTTCTCCCTCCTACGGAAAAATATCTGCCTGACTTGATTCCCTTTTTATATTGTTTATTATTATTATTTGAGATGAAGTCTTGCTCTGTCACCCAGGCTGGAGTGCAGGGGCACCATCTCGGCTCACTGCAACCTCCGCCTCCCGGGTTCAAGCAATTCTTCCCCCAGCCTCCCCAGTAGCTGGGACTACAGGCGGCCACCACTACGTCTGGCTTATTTTTCTTGTATTTTTAGTAGAAGCGGGGTTTCGCCGTGTTGGCCAGGCTGGTCTCAAACTCCAGACCTCAGGTAATCTGCCCGCCTCGGCCCCTCCAAAGTGCTGGGATTACAGGCGTGAGCCACCATGCCTCGCCTTGATTCCCTTTTTAATGCACAAATACTAACAGCAATATTCACCAAACTCTAATAAAATGTGAGTGCCCTTGCAATCGTATCTGTACTATCCTTCCAAATTATTTTTAATCCCAGCTCTTTCTATCTTTGTTTAGACACAGGTGTAATTTCTGCTTAGTTGTCTCATGATGTAGCTCAGTGTCTGTGTCTCTTTCTTACTTTGCAGGGTGGAGTAGTTTTCTACCAGGACATAGTTAACAACCCATAAAGGTCTCTGCTTAAGTAAGAAGCCCATTTCTGTGAACCATAACCCAGACATAGCAACGCCAGACTGTGTCTCCTATCAAAATTTATTGAAATGGTAGATTTTTGGTAAGTACAGAAACACAAGCAAAGGAACCAGGAGGAATGTGCCCCCCTCTAACTGTGGGGCAGCGGCACGTTTTCCTTTTAATGGTAAAAGCAAACAGAGGTGGGAAACAGCTTTCCATCCTGAAGCCGTTTCAAGTGCTCAACCCTTAGATTAGTATAAACAAGAGAGGAATGGATTGCATTAGTCGCTGGTTGAAAGCAGCAATGCCATTTCCTTTCCCATAATAACACTGTTTATCTCAGTCCCTTCTGGGGCTAATCCCCTATTACACCCACCGG